GGGCGCGCTCCTAACGGGCTCCTCTTCCTCCTGCTGCCAGAGACGGCAGCCAGCAGCGCGATCCCCCTGCGCTCACACACAGACACACACACACTCCCGCACAGCCACCCCTGCCTCTGCTCCTGAGAAACCTACCTGCGAAATATGTTTTTTTTAAAAAAAAAAGAAAAAAAAAAAGGGTGGGGGGTAGAAAGGGGGAAAAGCATCCCACACCTTCTGTACACACGTACGCAGGCAGGGTCCCCACTGCCCTGCTGGCATTACCCCACCCCCATCCCCCGCCCGAAAGCGAAAGTTTGGGAGGCCGAGGGGGGTGGAGATGGGGAGGAGAGGGAAGCAGGATGGGAGAGCAGAATGCGCCTTCAAAAAGCACCTCAAAGTTTTGGGGGGGTCTAAGCTGCTAAACGAGAGCGCGAGCTGTAAAGGGGCTGGCAGGCGATGACTTCTTGCAGCCGTAACGTCTTGCCTTCTCTGACAGTTTTCCCCCCCTCCCCGAGGTCCCTACAAAAAAAGAGCGAAATAAAAAGTGGGGGGCACCCCCTGAACCTCGTCTGAAAACTGAGCAGGGTCCTCCAGTTAATCCGAAAGTTACAGCCCGAAAGAAATAAAAACCAGACCCACACCCCCAAACCAAAACAAAAAGAAATCCACAAACAAAACGTAACCCCCGGAATAAAAGAGAAAGGGAGAGAGAGAAAGCAAGAAGGGAGAGAGAAAAAGCAGCCCCTCCTTCCCAAATGAGAACAAGTACTGTACCTAAAAATGGGGAAACAGGCAGAAAAAGGGGGGAGAGAGAGAGGGGAGAGATACATGGGATCTGGGGATGTGAGTGTGTGTGTGTATGTGAGAGAGAGAAACAGGCACGGAGAGAGGGAGAGAGAGAGAGAGAGAGAGCGAAATATCAAAGATTGTGCAAGATCAGCCTGGAAAGATAATCGATACTCGACCTAAATTTAACACAAACTACTCAATAAAAGTTAAAGAAAAAACTTACTTTCCATTTCCCCTCGCAGTTCCTACTGGATCTTCGCCTCTTTTTTTTTTGTTTTGCTTTATTTACTTAACAGCTGATCACATCCAAGTAAACGAGAGAAGGTTCATTAAAAAAATAATAAAAAAAAATAATCCTCCAACTTTATTGGGTGAAAATAAAAATGATTGAGCAAGAAGTGGGGGGCATGGAGCGGTCCTTTGGGGTCCGGGAGTTGTTAAAGCATGTGCCGACCGCGGTCTCGCTGTTTGGTTGTGAAGGGGTTGGGAAAAGGAGGAAAGGAAATGAAAATCCGATATGTCTTTATTCTGCTAATTATTATCGTTTTAGCCCTGTTTAAAAAAATGGCTGATTAAGTTGAGTGCGCATGTCTTTGTGTGTCTATTCCCGATATGCACTCTGGGAATGAGAGAGAGAGAGAGAGGGAGAGAGAGAGAGGGAGAGAGAGAGAGAGGGGAGAGAGAGCGAGAGAGAGCGAGAGAGAGAGGGAGAGAGGGAGAGGAGAGGGAAGAGGAGAGAGAGAGGTGTAATTAGTGAGGTGATCAACATTCTCCGGGCTGCAAATGACGCGCAGCCCCGGAGCCGGGGAAGCCGGAGCTACGGCTGCTGCCCGGGGCTCCGCCGGGGCGGGGGGGCGACACCC